CCAGTCACAGCGTCAGGGAACCGATTCGCGAGCTGACCAGAAATAATCTGTGAAGACAGGACAGGTGAGAAAGAACCCTGCCCACCCACCCCAGGTGCTGGGGAACGTACAGTAGAGGGGAGCAACCCTGCAGGATTAGTAGAAATTACAGAGGAATCAGAATGTGGGTCTGCCATGGCAGAAATAGCCCTAGAGGGGGCAGCATGGGCCCTAGGTAAAGGTAGAGCCGGTGCAGGAGGATGCAGCCCCAAAAGAAAGGGGGAAAGGGGCGTAGGATGGGCGGATGAGGTTGATGGGAGTGTGGCAGAGGCCAGCCCAGGGGAGACAGAGAGGGGAGGAGGAGAAGGGGGGGGGCTGTAAGTGAGATTAGCCGGTCCTGGCTCTATGCCCCGACCCCCTGAACCCCCCAACCCCTGGTTGAGAACCCCAGCAACCTGCGGCCTACTCACCATTACTGGAGAAGGGCCGGCTGCAAGCCCAACCTGTGCGCGCTCTGCCCGAGATCCGCTGGGGGCAGAGCGCATATCATGTGCCCAGCGCACCGGCCGGGACGGATTGCTGGAGCGTGATCTCGCGGCCGCCCTTCTGAGGGCGCGCGAGATCTGAGGAGCAGGGACCGGGACGGGACGGCCATCACCTCCCCGAGAAGCGGCTGCCAGACGGGCACTGCGCGACCGCCTCGGGGAGGAGGCGAGAGGTTGCTGGTTAGAAATGCCGCCCGCGGCCGCGTGGGACCTGGCGCGCGGGCCGGCAACGGGACTCCTACTCCTGTCCCTCACCCGGCCCTCCCGCGAGGGGCTATAACGGGTAGGGGGACGCGCCCGGCGGCGCGGAGTTCCATGGCTGCCGGGAGGGGGAGCAGCTACCACGGAGGCACCCTGCAGCCTTGCCAGCTGGGCCTGCAGGTGCCTGCCACCGTCCTGGAGGGCCTCAGCCCTAAGGGCAGCAAGGATCCCATCAATATCCATGCTCCTGGCCGTGGGGTAAGCAAAAGTAACTAAAGGCTAGCACAGTGAGGAATAGGAATAGTTACCTTGCCGTTAGATTTAAGATGGCTGAGGTAAAAGACAAAATGTCACCTATTTATATAACCCCACCCTACTCCTTAGCTAAATCACACCCCCATTTTTTCACCACACCCACCACACCCACACATGCCTCCTATCCGGCTAGCTTTCAGCCCGCCTCCTCTGGGCCTGAACCCTCTGATAAATGTATCTTTTACTCTAAACTAAAACTACAAATGTATGTGTTAGTCTGTGCCTAGGCTGGCATTTTTTTTAATATTAATTAAAGAAAGTTCACATAGTGAGGACAATACAATGCGCGTGTTACAGAAGAGACATACTCTATAAAATGAGCATTAGTATAGAGTATATGCGACCTGGAAATGCCACAGTATAGCAATTTCACAAACATATTGACCATGACTCTAGTAAAACAGAAAAAAAAATAGAACCACAAATAAACATCATTCACATGTGATATACGGCACATAGGATCAAAAATAGGTTATTTCCACATAGTACTTGTCATGACAAAGTCTAGGCTGGTACTGAGGTATTAATGGTCTTTTAAGTATAAGAGATTAGCAAATGAGAAAATACAAAGCTTAAAAGGAACACTATAGGGTCAGGAACACAAACATGTATTCCTGATTCTATCATGTTAAAAACTCAATGCATCTCTTTGGGGAAAGTTCAGTGTCTCCATGCAGAGCGTGGAGGCACTGAACAGCAGTGCTGTACATTGTGCAGCACTGCCCCAGGAAGCACATCCAGTGGCAATCAGAGGAGTAGCTACTGGAGGTGTCGTTAGGGAGCAATGTAAACACTGCCTTTTCTTGGAAAAGGCAGTGTTTGCAGCAAAAAGGTTGCAGGGACTGACTATACTCACCAGAACAACAATGTTAAGCTGTAGTTATTCTAGTGACTATAGTCTCCCTTTAACAGTTTATAGCTGAGAGGAAATATACTTGAGAAGCGTACAAATGGCCACTGTACTCTATGATCAACAAGTAACAAGCTATTTCCATATATCAAAGTTCTGAAATGGCCATTTTGTAAAATAATTAAGTTTGATAAGATTTTCATTTGGATTTTTCACTAAATGTTTTGGACTTTTAAAACATATACACATTTTTTTCTCTGTCCTGAAAAGACATCTTGGTCTGATTATGAAAGCAGAGGAAAGATCACACATCTTTTTTTACAAGGATGACAAGTAATAAATTGCAAATGGTGCGAATTTGCTTGCCTACCAAATCTCCAATTATAGAAACAATTTTGGGACCAAGTATTCAATTCTAATATACTATGTATTAAGATTATTTATGTAAAATACCTTTGTTAGAATGTCAAAAGATCTTCTTTGCACTGGGGAAGTCAACACTGTTCCAGAAAAACAATGGATGCCTGGTTTATCATTAATATAACATTGTAACCTCAACCGGGTCCCAACCCAGATATGAACATCTTAAGGACCAAATGTTAAACTTCATTATTTCAATCCGGTTCCTAAACACATTACAAAAAATAGTATACACAACATCAAAAACTTAGTAGAGGCATAGGCAACTTTCAACACTCCAGACATCATGGACAACATCTGCCCTGATACTTTGCCAGCTTTGTGACTGTCAGAGCATTGTGGGAGATGTAGTCCAGAATATATGAAGTACCATAGGTTGCCTACCCCTGAAATAGTGCTTAACAGGCCAGGTGTATAGTATGAGAGGACAAGCCAGTGTGATACAAAAAAATAATATACACAATGCCAAAAACCTAGTGGTCAACAGGTCAATAGTGTGAACATACAAGCCAATGTTATACAAAAAATACCATATGCAACATCAAAACATGATGCCCTGAACCATTGTCTTAGGATGTCTTCATTGTTTTCCTATGTCAGAGTCATTTAAAAAGGACATGCCACACAGTGCACTATATGTTGTCACTAATAGCCCTTCTCAAAGATTATTGGAATAATTTAGCATCTAGAATTAATGATTTTAATTTATAATACCAGGAGAAACTCCACAAACCGATTCCCTCACTTCTTCACAGAATCTCCAGCTTGTTAATCATAATAAATGTAATATACGGCATGAAACAGAATCCAAACTTTTAATATCCTTTATGTAAAGCTAGCTGTTTTTTCTGTGACCCAACATTTATTGTGTTTCAGATTATGAGAAATAATAATCTCTGTGGTTTGCAATGGGCCTGTGCCATAATTTCACTGTAAAATATTCATGAGCTATATTTTTTTTCCTCTTTCAGCCTGGGGTTCTCGTTTAATATTGGCCCATTTTATGATTAATTGCTAAATTGTAAACAATATAGTTAAACTGGAAGAAAAAAAAATTGATTTTATGAGACTATCCACGACCCACAGTCTACACAGATTAATTTAAAATTAAACATGCGTTTTGCAAGAGGAGACAAAAGAATCTAGTGGAGCAAGAAAGGGGTTTAAAATAACACACTGAGCTGCATGTTGGCCCATTTAAGTAAGGTGACAACATTCTCATTGGAAGTCAAGGGGCTTAGCTAGATGCACTGACAAAGGTCTGATAAAAAATAAATAACTAAATGAACACCAATATTTATAAGAAGATTAAGTCTGTCCTCGGGGACATTTCTCCAAGGATTGTCTCTAGGAAGCCTGAAAATACATCCTTGTCCCTTATCGTAATAATGGATTTCTGCGACTTTATCTCTGATCATGTCCAGGGTCAATCTGCTTTTCTCATTATGATATGCAGTACTGGGGGACAGGAGGATAAACAGCATGCATAATTACCAAACGCTGAATCCTGGATGTGTCCCAGCCTTTCGGTGACTGAGAAATCTGCAACATCAACATTAAGTAAGTCTCTGAACATAATACGATCTGACAAACTCATTCGGGACTGTGATCCCCAAGGAAAGTGGACTCTTCAGAGGCCCCAGATTATGCTCCTGCCTTATCACTTCGATGTTCAGAGGCTGTTGATGACTATAATATTCTTCTGTATTGACCAGATGCCAAAAACATATGATTGTGATTGGAAATTTGTATTTATTAGCGCTACAATAGATGAAGACGTTTTCATCGGACGGCAGGTGTGGAAAAAGAGTTGAGTAAGATGTCAACGGAAAAAACGTGTAAAATTTGTTCATTCTTTTCTATCTTTCACATCTTTCACCACAAAAGCTCATTACTATTTTTATATTGATCTTTACACTTATGACAAAGACAGATATGGTACAGAATTATTGTCATTTATAAAAGTGAGCAGCAATAATGGGCATTTTGAATTTTTTTCCCCAACAATGATTTTTTTCCCCAACTAACAATAAACTTTGCTTTCTCACATTTACAGATGTGCGTACAAGGATTTAGTTACTTATTTGTTCATGTTTGGTTAAGCTCTGGTCTTTCAGATATTTTTATAATCCTGTGCTCATCATTTTCAATCTGATTGGGATGGCATATTGACAAATGCAATCTATTAGTTCATTCTTCAAATTTAGCTACTTTGACCTTACATTTGAAATTAACTTTTGTTCCATTTTGAAACTCCAATAATTCTCACTTTAGTGAATAACTCACTCATTGTCTTTTGCCATTTTCTCTTCTTTTCTTTTCCAGTCTATTAATTAAACAGTGAGTTGAAATATAACGTGTAACATTTAAGCCAAAACAGAAGAGTTGTATAATGTTACCATCTCAACTCTTTTTCAAATCACTGTTTAGTGAATAAACTCCCTATAGTCTATTTGCCTGCTCTTGTTTAAGAGAGACAGGTCAAGACATTTAGTGGAAAATGTCTGTGACACTGAGAATACATTTAGTAAACAGAGATAGTTTGGGGAGAAATGTATAGAGCAGAGATGGATCGGTGAGACTGAGAAGACATTTAGTAATCAGAGATAGTTTGGGGAGAAATGTATGAAGCAGAGATGGATCGGTGAGACTGGGAAGACATTTAGTAATCAGAGACAGTTTGGGGAGAAATGAGATGGATCGGTGAGACTGAGAAGACATTTAGTAAACAGAGACAGTTTGGGAAGAAATGTATGGAGCAGAGATGGATCGGTGAGACTGGGAAGACATTTAGTAAACAGAGACAGTTTGGGGAGAAATGTATGGAGCAGAGATGGATCGGTGAGACTGCGAAGACATTTAGTAAACAGAGACAGTTTGGGGAGAAATGTATGGAGCAGAGATGGATCGGTGAGACTGAGAAGACATTTAGTAAACAGAGACAGTTTGGGGAGAAATGTGTGGAGCAGAGATGGATCGGTGAGACTGGGAAGACATTTAGTAATCAGAGACAGTTTGGGGAGAAATGTATGGACCAGAGATGGATCGGTGAGACTGGGAAGACATTTAGTAATCAGAGACAGTTTGGGGAGAAATGTATGGACCAGAGATGGATCGGTGAGACTGGGAAGACATTTAGTAATCAGAGACAGTTTGGGGAGAAATGTATGGAGCAGAGATGGATCGGTGAGACTGAGAAGACATTTAGTAAACAGAGACAGTTTGGGGAGAAATGTGTGGAGCATAGATGGATCGGTGAGACTGGGAAGACATTTAGTAATCAGAGACAGTTTGGGGAGAAATGTATGGAGCAGAGATGGATCGGTGAGACTGGGAAGACATTTAGTAATCAGAGACAGTTTGGGGAGAAATGTATGGAGCAGAGATGGATCGGAGAGACTGGGAAGACATTTAGTAATCAAAGACAGTTTGGTGAGAAATGTATGGAGCAGAGATGGATCGGTGAGACTGGGAAGACATTTAGTAATCAGAGACAGTTTGGGGAGAAATGTATGGACCAGAGATGGATCGGTGAGACTGGGAAGACATTTAGGTAAAGGAGAAGGACCAGAGAGACATTTAGGGAATGTAGAAGCACAGGTAAGAAATTTAGGGAAAGGGAATAGACCTGGAAGACAATTAGGATAGAGAGATTGTTGAGGTATTTAGGAAACAGAGACAGACTAGGAAACATTTTATGAGACATTTAGGGAAAGGAAGAGAATGCTCAATATAAATACACATTCAGCACATACATGCACACACTGCCAATACATAAAATACATACATCCATACACGCAAACTGTCAATACATAAAATACATACATCTATACACGCATACTGCCAAAAAATACATCCATACATGCACACATGGCCAATACATAAAATACATACATCTATACACTCATACTGCCAATAAATACATCCATACACACACACTGCTCAATACATGAATGTATACACGCACACTGTCTAATACATACATCTATACACTCACACTGCTCAATACATAAAATGCATACATCTATACACGCATAATGTCAATAAATATATCCATACACACACTCTGCTCAATACATGAATCTATACACGCGCGCACTGCTCAATACATAAAATACATCCATCCATACACTCATACTGCTAATAAATACGTCCATACGCACACACTGCTCAATCCATGAATCCATACACGCACACTGATACACGCACACTGTCTAATACATCAATTCATACAAGCAGGCTGTCTAATACACACATCTCGACACACATACTGGCTAATACATACAATCATGCTGCTTAATACACAGTGGTGTATTTTGGTTTTGTGCTGCCCTAGGCATGACAAAACTCTGGCCTCCCCCCACCCCTATCTACATTTATCTTAAAACCAACACGCTCTTTTACTGGCAAACACACGCCCTCACTGATGAATTCACTGACAGATACACAGTCATTGGAACACACACACTGTTAGACAATCACACACTTTCACTGACTGACACACATATTCCCCAACAGACACACATACACTCTCACTGACAAACACACATATACTCTTTGATAGACTCACACACAAACTCACTAACAGACACACATTTTTTTTTTCTTACTCAGCCTACCTTTGGGAGTGCTGGCATGGAGTCTCTATTTCCCTGTGGTCCAGTGGGGCTGCTGGGTTGAGTGGCTGAGCGCGAGGTCCCTGTGGTCCAGTGGGGCTGCTGAGTGGCTTGGTGTGTGGTCCCTGTGGTCCAGTGAGGCTGCTGAGCAGCTGGGCATGCGGTCATTGTAGGCACGCGAGTGAGCTCCGATCTACATGCTCAGCTCCCTCACGCACCTCTTAGTGATGCCGGGGCTGGATTGACTGTGGTGCGTGCCAGGAAGCTCAGGGGAGAGTGCTCCCTCGCCACCTGCCTCCACCTCATGCAGATGCCAGCCTTTGGGGGGCCAAGATGGCCAGCCAGCCAGCTCCTGAGCCCCCCAGGAGAAGAGGCTGACAAGGCATCTGCCAGGTAGGGCATTTTTTAGATAAGGCCAGGGACTAATAAAAGTATTTAGAAATATTGGGCAGGCTAGATTGGCCAAATGTTTCTTATCTGCCGTCACATTCTATGTTTCTATGTTTCTAATGGTAGCTCCGGCCCAGTGCCCTAGTTCTTTCAATCTTTTTTTAATGCTTCTCGTCCCAGCAGCACTGAATTTGTGGATTGCTGTGCATGCACAGTAGGTCTGCAGTGCATCTCTTATAGAAGTATCTGATTGGACCAAAGATAATTTTTTAGAGGTTAACACAGTGAAAGAGTTGATATCACGGTCAGCAGATAATTCTGCAGAAAATAAACTGTTTTGGTGCCAGAGTACTCGTTAACTTAATTAATCTAAAATTTTAACTGAACAATAAACACATTTAACTTAAAAAGATATTTAATTTTTGGATTTGGGAGCACCCGATACCGACCTTGGTCACAGACGCTGGGTCTAAAACCAGGACAGCCAGCCGAAGCCGCCGATGCCGTTTTTTCTTGCGCCCGGCTCCAAAACACGACGCAGAGGCGGTAAGGCCTACCACGCGGGCGGACGGCAGAGAGACTCAGAGGAGGGAATCTGGCCCTGGGGCTCACCTGCTCTGGAAGACTGGTACCACAGCCTGCCACACACAGGTGAGATGGGGCGCAAGTCTCAGAAACCACCCACACATACCCCAAGGCCCCAGCGCGACATAGGCCAGATGTTGCAGGCCCCAAGTGCAGCGCAGACCACGTCCCATCGGGACTCCTCTCCACTGCCCTCAGAGGAAGGAGAACCACCTGATAGCCCACTCACTCCATGTCATGCAGCTCCCCCACGGGTAATGGAGGATAATGCCCCAGCATCCAGGAGTGATATCCAGGCCATGCTGACAAGCCTGCAACAAAACCTCAGGCAAATGTGGGAGGCTGACCTGGCAGTGCTAAAAGGGGATGTAAATGCTGTGACACTACGTACACAAGCTACAGAGAATGAAGTGGAAACCCTGAAACAAGGCCTACAAGAGCTGGGGGAGAAAGTACAAAAACTAACCACCACACAGACTGCCCTCTCCAGACAAGTCAACCTACTGGACGACAGGGGGAGACGCAAAAACGTCAAAATCAGAGGGGTGCAGGAATCCATCCCACTGGAGGAACTACCACATTTCATCAGACGCCTCGTAGCTGCACTACTTCCAACCAGACAAGCCAAAACCTTCTTATTCGACGGAGTCTACAGAATTGCGAAATCCCCGCAGGCACCCAGCGCAGCACCGCGAGACATCATATTACGGTGCCAGTCTATGTCAGACAAATTGGGACTTTTAGCAGCGCTCCAGGGAAAGACTCCTATGGAATTTGAGGATTGCCGATTATCCTTTTTTCAAGACCTGAGCAGAGCCACACTACTATGGCGCAAACAAATGCAACCACTTACTAAACCACTCCACGCAGCAGGCATTACCTACAAGTGGTCGACTCCGGGGACCCTATGGGTTACCAAAGACAACAAACATTACAAGGCCACGGATCCCTCTGAGGGCCCAGCTCTAATGGCGACATTGGGACTCCCAACTCTGCCGACAACTTCAATGCCACTGCCAGGCCACCGACCCAGGAGGGTTGAAGCAACAACAACGGCTACACCCAGACCCCATGGAGACACCAAGTCCTGAAACGACGCGCTCGGTCTGGGACTTTTGGACTTTTACTGAGACTCTCTTACTAAAATGTTTAGTTACGCTTACAAGCGTTAGTTTTACTGGTTCACCTCTTTCTGTTATAGTGGGATAGCGACCTATTGGAGGCCCCACCAGCCGGCTCTGGCGACAACTCCCTCCCTCTCCCCCCCCCGCCCTGGGGTAATAGGGTACTACCAGCATGGGAGCCTTACACTCACACATAGTCTAACGCTTTCTTCCTCCTCTCACGCCGTGGGTTCTTTGCCCTCTGGGTGCAGATAGGCTTCCATACAGCTCCCACCCACCTAGACACCCACTAGACTCAAACATTTATTACAGCATGCTTACACACAGCCACCTTCATCACTATACTTAGCTAAGCCACACAGCGCACCTCCAGTCCAGGCAAGAGCCATGCAGCGTACGAAGGAAGGTATAATAGACATAACCTAAAACCATATAGGATGCCGCTGAAGGGAGTGCCACGACTCCCCACACACCAAACACGGCTCTAGCCCTAAACACCATATGGAGTACCATAACCAAACAGATACCAGAGATCAGATGGGGATTTGACTCCCACAAACAAAAGCTTATCGAATACTGCATGCCCCACACGCTAGATGGCTTCAAGGTAACTGCGCTGGCACACATAGTCGAGTGAACACTCACCCAAAACTTCCACAGTTAAGGCCCACGTTACAACATCCCAGCCCAATATAACTTAAAAAAAAAAAAATGCGAAATGTATCTTAACAGTATATTTAATGTAGCATGTTCCTGTGAGCCATGTACATATGGATTGCGGCAATATTAACATGTCTGTCCTTTTATCGCATGAAAATAAAGATTTATAAAAAAAAAAAAGATATTTAATTTTTAATGTCACAGTGTTTCTTCAAGACAAAACATTTGTAAGAAAATAGTCAAAAGCTTGTGCTTTGGTTGGCCCACATTCAGAAACAAATACATTTTAGTTCATACATGTAATAACAGAGAGAACCTATAATTGTTTTAGCCTTCATAGAGTCTTAAAGATTAGGTGTAACTGATACTACTCTCGGTGCAGTGAGAAAGGAGTTCACAGGATTTCACTTTTTATCCTAGTCATATGCAAATAAGCCAAAACAAGGTGCAAAAGAACGCTGACAATTGCAGGTTTATTTACTGTGAGAATTCAGAGTGAATTTCAAATTTAAAACCTCTACTAATGTTGAATTTCACTTGGAATTCACCTTGAATTTTCAATTTAGTAAATAACTCTGTTAGGAAAAATATTTCATAGCAGATAAAACAAGTTGACACTTAAAGAGAAGTGGTGCAGACAACAAAAATGTCTACAGATTCTATTGGTGTCCAAGATGGTTTCTCCAGTTTTCAAATTTTGCTCTATTTTGTTTTATAAGCAATACTTTTATAAAACACCCCAAGTAAGTTATTGAGTTATATAACAACCCGGGGACATATAAATACTGCTACAAAGGGGCTGTGAATGTACATGTTTTGCTCTGTAAAGGTCTCAAGGGAGAGTATCACAGTGATGTGAACAGCCTGTGCTCATAGACTATTTCAACACAGTTTGACCAAAATAATAAACCCTTTTCTAACAGCGTGGATGAAGTATTCTATTGAAATGACTATTGTATATCACACACACTCTGGATAAAGAAGTATTAATATAAATAAGATAACCTTCACATTTTTCATATGCAACAAATATGTTTAAGCAGTGAAAGCAGACATTTTTTTTTTTAAATTTAGAATAAGTCCGTCAATTTAAATGAAGCCCATTTGCATACTATGCCCTGGTTGTGCCAGCACAGCTTGGCATACAATATAAATAATAACATAACAATAAAAGACACAAAT